TATTTTGTGCAAGAAGTCATCAGCAAGAAGTCATCAGCTCGGAACGATGGGAATTAAGGCAGTGTAGTCGCACATGCGAAGCACGAAACACAAAGCATCAAAATCGAGTTACAGAGAAACAGCCGGTATTTCTCAGTTTTGTTCCACCCTTGTCTCTGCAACGCCTCCACTTATCACCAAATCAAACATACTAAGAAAACGATACAAAGAAAAATAGCTGCAAAAAAAACTGGTTATGTTGTGGCTTTAAAACTGATTTGTTTTGTTCCCTTCTAAAACAAAGTTTGTGAATTCAGTTAAAGCTACAGTGTGTAATTTTCAGCGACATCTAACGTCCAGACTGCAGACCGCAGCAACATGAACATTTTGTGTTTTTAGCTTTCTTCCTGTATTGGAAGCTTTTCAAAATTTGAAACATTAGTGCAGTGGTTTATGTAAAAATAAACCTTTGGGTTGTCGCAAGCGGGTTTTTCTTGTGTTTCTTGTGAATTTGGTCTTAAATTATATTTCAAGTGGCATTAAAAAGTCTTAAAAAGTCTTGAATTTAACTTTCCTTATGCTGTAGGAACCCTGAAAAAGGTCCGGTTCTGTCCAGTTGGGAAGGTCCGGTTCTTTCCGGTGATCTGACTAGAACTCTAATTCCTCTGAAGGACCAGATTCACATCATCCTGATCTCATTAGTCTGTTTTTGTTATGAACTCCCAAACATTCCACTTCAAACAGAATCACTCCATCACTCCTCTGATACCTAGACGTCCATCATATCCTCCTGATCCTTCCTACATCTGATCCGCACCTTTAGGACCAAACATCTAAAACTCTCTCAGAGGTTCATTTATATCCATTCCAGCTGTTTGGAAGAGGAAATCAGACCTTTGCTTCCGATGTTTCTGTTGATCAACCTGAGGAGAAGGAGAAGCTGTTTTATTCCTCTTTAAATGTTTCTGCACTGAACCCTCCTGTCATCTGTTTGTTAGGATGCTGCGCTCGCTCCTCTCAGCTCATGGCGTCAACCCGCAGATGATCACTGTCTTCATTGATGGATACTACGAGGTACCAATACTTACACATGAGCTAAACGAGGCGTCAGTCAAAGAATAGACCTGTGGAGAAAGTTTTAGATATTTATCCGACTGTAATTTCAGGGCACTTTTATCCAAAGTGACTCTTAAATGAGGATAGAACAACGCAGCTAATATCAATGCTAACAATAAGCTACTTAGAAGGAGGACAGCTTCTGTCAGAAATGACAGATTAGAAATTGAGAGCAGACTGTCTGCTCGGTCTTTAGGTCTGACATCCTGTCGACACATTAAACCCAAAGTTCTTTCTATGTGTCCGGTTCAGGAGCCGATGGACGTGGTGGAGCTGTTCGGGCTAAAAGGCATTCAGCACACGCCCATCAGCATCAAGAACGCCCGTGTGTCCCAGGTAAGCCAGAACTCCCAGGTCCAGGCAGCCGGTGCTGGTTCTGATTCTCTAACAACCTGTCCTCTGTTGGTTTCAGCACTACAAGGCGAGTCTGACGGCCACCTTCAACCTTCACCCCGTAAGTCTCTGCATCATCATGTGGGCGGTTGTGCTGCGGTCCAGTCTGCTGACAGAACCTTTTGTTGTTGAACAGGATGCAGGTTTTGCTATCGTTCTGGAGGAGGACCTGGACATCTCTGTGGACTTCTTCAGGTGGGTCCTAACTGCTTCATGGAAGCAGAAGGTGTGGAGTTACCCACGCACTCCTACAGTTCTGTTCAGGGAATGCGACTCCTTGAAAGACAGTAGAACTTGTTTCTTAGATAAGCATCGTTTTGCAGCGTCCACCAGGTGGCAGCACTTCCTCAGCCTTGTTCCAGCTCGGCTCTCCAGCCTCTTTGTTAAACTCTTTGTGGCAGAAAAAGCTGCTGCTTCTAAACAAAGAACGGACCTCAGGAGGACCGAGGTGCCTCACATCCATCTTCTCCTGCTGCATGATTGCTATTCAGCTTCTCAGGAACCAGAACTTTCCATTCTTTAGTTAATCTGTGCAGAAGTAATCAAACTTCTAACATCATGAAGACAAAGGAATCCAGCCGAGCGGTCCGGGAGGAGGTTCTGTTTTAGTCGGATGCTCTAGAGCATCTTCCAGATTTCTGATAAGTCCATCATCTAAACATGGAGGGAGGATGGACCACTTGCAGACCCACCTGGACATGGAGGTCCATCAGGATTGAGAGAATAGTATCTATCAGAGAAGCTGCCCAGAGTTCCATGGTGACTATGGAGGAGCTGAAGAGATGCACAGCTCAGGTATACAGAACATCTATCACCGCATGATTCCGGATTGCAGAAAGCTTTAGAAGTTGAATAGAAAATACAAATAAACTTTGGTCTGCAAGCATCAGAATACCTAAAACAGAGTAGAGTGGATGAGAGGATGGAGGTAAATCCTGGAAAAAAATCTATTAGAGGCTGTGTAACAGTTGAGAATTGGGTGAAGGTTCACCTTCCAGTAGGAGAACCATCATGAACATCTAACCAGAACAGCCACAAACAAACCCTCAGACTGCAGATGTTCAGAGCTATTGGAGACAAACACCTAAAGACCTGCAGCCATGGAGGTTCTACAAAGGTCTGACTCCTGTTCTGCTTTATGTGGGTCAGTCCTCCTACCTTTCTGTCCTGCAGGTCAAACAGACAGACACAATGGGAATATTCCAGCTTTCCCTGCATGCTCCCTGTTCACCATGTCTAACCCGTGTCCTTCTCCCCACAGCTTCCTGAGTCAGACCATCCACCTGTTGGATCAAGACGACAGCCTGTACTGCATCTCAGCCTGGAACGATCAGGTCAGTCCTGACCCCTGAGCGCATGTTCTGACTGCATATGAAGTCCGAACCGACAGATGTCCCGTCAGATTCTGGAAACAGGCAGAACCACATGTTCAGTATTTCTATTATGTGAAACTAGAACAATTTCCCTAAAATCCTTTCATAAGTTTCTATATAAGGCTCAGAGTTTGCCTGCAGCCTCTGGTGTTTGTTCTGTTCTCACCTTCTTCATTCGCTCTGCTTTCTTATTTGATCAGCAGGTCGAGATTTTAAGCCAGGCTTGGTTCACCTTTCCTGTGTTTTTGTCTTCAGTATAATGATACTAGCCTTTTTTGAGTCCGATGCTGAAGCTGTCACTGCTGCCACCCTCTGGTATAAGGGGGAACTGCTTGTTCTGCCAAATGATAAAGAATCCTGGCCTGTGATGTGGGTCATCCCTGAAATGTAATAGATTGTTCTTTGGACTGGGGTACACCTTTGGTAGAAATTTCATAACTTTTCAAGTTATCCTGTAAACAGGCAGACAGATAGACGGACAAGTAAATGCACAAACTCGAGCTCAAAAACTAAAAACATGACCTCTTTGGGGGAGGTAAAAATCAGATGATTGCAGCTGCAGAAAGTGACGGATCAAATAATCAGATCCGGTTTGTCTGTCTGTGAGCAGGGCTATGAGCACACTGCTGAGGACCCGGCCCTCCTCTACAGGGTGGAGAGCATGCCCGGTCTGGGCTGGGTACTGAAGAAGAGCATCTACAAGGATGAGCTGGAGCCAAAATGGCCGACCCCTGAGAAGGTCTGTGACTCAGCAACATTGAAAAAAAAAAAAAAAAAGCGATCAAATGACTTTAAGATATTTAGTTGATTTTTATGAATTTCATTCAAATCTATAAACTAGATGAGTAATATTTAAAACTCAGATATATTATCCAAACAAATCCAGCGATTTTCTTTCAAATCTCAGAGAAACTGTTTCAAGAAGTCTGCTGAGATTAAATAAAACTTATAAAATAGTTGATAAAGGAAATATTTAGCCAGGTTTGATTAAAATGAACGTTATTTTTCTGCACATTTTTAAACGTGTGGTGTCTCTGCTGCTGCAGCTCTGGGATTGGGACATGTGGATGAGAATGCCGGAGCAGAGGAAAGGCCGGGAGTGCATCATTCCCGACGTGTCGCGCTCCTACCACTTCGGCATCATCGGCCTCAACATGAACGGATATTTCCATGTGAGACATCCAGGATTGTTAACTCTCACACACAGACACACTTTGTTTTGTCTATCCATGTATCAGGACTGGTCCCCATATTGTTACTGATCCTCTGAACGCAGGTAGATAAGCCCGAATAAATCCCTTAATGACAATGAAACAAACACAGCCTCAGGTCGAATTTAAGTTATGATTAATAATCACTTACCGGTAATTACTTTAAGTAGAGGAATCCTGATACAAAGGTTTTATTTCTAATATGATATTGATATGAAAAAAAATCCAGATCATTCATACTTTTAACTTATTTTTAGGGAAACACCTATATGAAAATATACGACATTAATACTGCAGTTATGGCTGATAAGTGATATTTTCCGATGTCATTATATGTTTTTATAGCCTTTAGACCAAATCAGCCACAATGCTGACTCTGGCTCTCTGCTCTCTGGCTCTTACCTACAATATTAATCTGCATCGCAATCATCATCATCATATAACCCATCAATTACCCCCCCGAAACAGAACCAGCAAAAACAAAAAATGAAATATTGGTTGTTTAGATCGACCAAGTTTTACTGATATTAATGCTGATGTTTTGTGCTTCTCCAGTTACCCTGTAGTGCAGAATGTTAAATGAAAATAAATTGCTTTATCAGGTTATTTTACTGACTTTTTTATTATGAACCAATAAGTCACATACATATTAAACTTAGACATGAAAATATTTTATAATTTAATAGGATAAAAAAAAATGATCGTATGAGAAACTTGTTCCAGACAAATTTTTATCCAACTCTCAACCAAAACTATGATCCTGATTTAACAGCAAACCTCTGGTTTTCTTCTTCTGCTGGCAGGAAGTGTATTTCAAGAAGCACAAGTTCAACACGATTCCCAACGTGCAGCTGAGGAACGTGGAGAGGTGCGCCCAGCAGCTGGATGCCGTGTTTCATAACTCTGCCGTAACGCTGACCTTTTTCCTGTTTCTCTGCTTCACAGTTTGAGGAAGGACGCGTATGAGGTGGAGATCCAGAAGCTGCTGAGGTGAGCATCTCTGCAGAACCGCGGAGCTAAGTTGGGTTGGATGGCTTTTAAAAGCAATGCTGTGGCATTTGCGGTGTGTTTATTCCTGATCCAGAGAGGCAGAGCTGCTCGACCACTCCAAGAATCCCTGTGAGGACTCGTTTGTTCCAGACACAGAGGGGAAGACCTACGTCATGTTCATAAAGATGGAGTCTGAGCTGGACACGTCCACCTGGACAGAGCTGGCCAAGGTAAACTCCACACCATCATCTAGGTTTTGGTAATTTTCCTGGTGAGCAAGGCGACCTATCCTTTTTGTCCGGCAGTGCCTACATGTCTGGGACCTGGATGTCCGAGGATATCACCAAGGACTCTGGAGGCTCTTCAGGAAAAGGAACCACATCCTGGTTGTTGCCGTGCCAATCTCTCCATACTCGTAAGTAACGCTTGGCTGGAGATGAAAAAGTTCCCATTCCTGCAACATCAGGAAAGGAAAAACTGTTCAAAGCTCCTTTGTTTGATCACCAGTCTGCTGGTACCAATTTTATTAAAAGTGTTCCCTTCTGATTGACTTTTTCCATAGCAGCATATATGAATCATTTTTTTCCAGACCGCTCAGGGATTATACAGAGGTGTTTGATGGTGAAAGTTTCTGTATATTTTATCCTGGATCTGTATCCTGGCATTCCCTGCAGTTCTTTTCTGCTTGGATTTTTTTCCTCAGGTCTGTTGAACTTCCATCGGTGGAGGATTTATACCAGAAACGGTCCTGATGAGGTGTCAGTAGCAGCGTTAGTTACAGCTTCCAACCTTCCCCTCTGGTCTCCAAGGAGTCATTTCCTTGTGTTTGACTCACTAACAGCCAGAGTCTTCATCAATGAACAATCTTCCTCCTGCTTGTTTGAAGTCTGCAGGAAGGTGCTTAGATTTTAGATGAATTTTAAAAGATGTTTTGAAATCATTTTTATGAACAGGAGAAAATAACCCAAATTTGGAACCCTGGGTGTAATTCAGATAAAAATTTCTACAAAGGCTTTTAAAGATTTAAATTGCTGTTCTACAAATGATGCTGTTTATAGGATCACATCTTTGCTGAGGACTGAAACCTTAGAGTGAAATATGCTGGTTCAGATATTTTCCGATTTATGTGGAAAAAATGTTTTTTCTATTTATTTATTAACATTATTTTTAATACACAGAACAAAAGAAAAGGAAAATTAATCCTAAAATTTTCCCAACCAATACTGGAGGTGAAAGATTAAATTATTTTTTTTGTCAAAAGTCCATCACAGTATCGTCTGCATAAGTGTAGAGGAGAATAAGGAAGGCTCCAGAGCTGATCCCTGAGGGACACCTGTGGCCGATGGAAGGATAGTGAAGCAGATGACCTCTGATTCCACTGGCTGTGTTCTGATGGAGGAAGAATGTTCAAACATACAGAGTTTCCTTTGAGGAATTTCATTCAGTTTATTTTGATCCACAGAGTTAAAATATCTACGGAGGTTTGGTGAGAGCAGCGACACGCTGTTCTTAGCTGGTTCGTTGCCCTTAATGGGGCTGCAGCTGGTAGGACTCTACTGTAAAGGACTGGACCCATGCATGGGTCAGAGGTAGAAAGCAAGATTCCAATGATGATCATCAATATTTGACATGTAGGATGTCTGCATAAAACTGGTTCTGTTAGATCCTGATCTACATGTTCTATGCGCCAGAACCAAAACCACCGCTGCTAAATCTGTTTAATCCAATTTTCTTGTTTCTCTTGGGCAGTGTGAAGAAACCGGCTGCTGTCACGCCGATCCACTTAGAGCCTCCACCCAAAGAGGAGGGGGCACCGGTGGAGCAGATGTAGAACCGGGAATCCAATCAGCCGCCCTGCAGCGGACCGGCGGTGCGATGAACACAGCAGAACTCCGTCAGTTATAAACTGAAACAGCAGGATTCCTGCCGGGAGCCTCCGGATCCCAGAACGGAGTCTGACTGACAGCCGAAAGCAGAACAATGACACTAAACCCAGTTTGAACTGGGACGTTCTGGAGCAGAACCCAAACGAGTTCCATGTTACCTATTTATTCCACCCAGCCTGAGGTTTTATTTTTCCCTTCACTTTTTAACTCCATTTACTTTTCATGGTCTGAACATGTTTTTAGGGTCTAACATTTCAAACAAGAAGGGGATAAAATCCAACGGTACTGGAACACGGCCAGTTTGTTCTGACCCGCCTGTGATTCGCTTAGAAACTGGATCCTGGTGGAGAAACACTACTGAACTTCCCATTTAGTCTAACTGCTGCTCATGAGGCGACGGCGCCTCTTTTTCTCTACTGAACCAAACCTGATGCTGCAGATTGTGGGAAGGAACCACAGAATGAATGAGTCTGAAGTTTTTAAACGATAAAACTAGGAAACATTTTAATCATTTAAACCTTTTAGATTTATCCTAAAGTCCTGATTGGAGATTTTTATTGTTATTAATGGATCAGAACATCTTCTGAAGCTCAGAAACTTGATCCAAACGGTGACACTAATCTGTTAATGTTCTACTAAAACCTTAACTGGACCTTTTATTTACCAGATTTGCATAATGTTACTCATTGGTGGCTCCTTAAAGCTCCATGTTTTCAGCTCTGCAGATTCAGAAGCTCAGATCTGTGCTGTTGATGGTTTAGCCTGTTTTGGCATCAGCTGGGGGATGTTTTTCCAGAAAATCTCCTAATAGGCGAGTTTGTAATAGTGGCTTCTTAAATCCAGAACCGATCTCCCCTCTGTTGGTCACTCTGGATATGAGTTATCTCGCTCTCCTCAGTGCTGCATCTGCAGGAGGACAAAATACAGCCAAACACCATTTTCTCTCTGCCTGCTGAGATATTTCTGGATTAGTCTGAATTCTGTTCAGCTCTCTGTGGTTTCAGATACAAAAAATATCCTGGATCAGGACTTTAGGTGCTTCAGTTTCTGTATCTGATTCTGCAGCAGAGATGCATTCAGTACGAGGCATAGATTAGTTTGTATTTGTAGAGCAGATTGTAGAGCATTTTCTTCCCTGAATGGATGTAATGAAACGGTTCTGAGCGGTTCTGATCAGAACCTGCAGTGGTTAGCTCATCAGGGTCTGTTTAAGATGTCTTCTTATAAACGAGCATCAGTCACTCAGTGTTAAAGTTTTCATTTTGGGCTGAATTTGAATCTAATCAGAACCGCAGTGTTTCAGGTTCTGGGTTTTGAGTCGGCCCATTTGCCGTCTGACTTCTCCGTTTTTGTTTTAGTTTGCTGTTAAGTAATGAACATTTTAGACTGAATTTTTTTTTTTCTGACTGAATAAAGGTTTTTTAACTGCTTTTTATTCATTTTTTTTTCTTCATTGTTTCAATAATTAACCCGGTTGGTTCATTAGGGCTTAATATTATTAGCAGAAAAAAACCAGCAGCTCAGATTTCTGCGCCGCCTCCTGATTTCCCTCAGGAGCGTCCGTCTGGAAAACCAGATAAAGGAAATGTGAGCGTTGGATGGTTGGGATGTAAACCTGTGGTTCTGTGGTTCCTGGGTTCATCTGGCTTCCTGTCCTTCAGCTTTGACCTTCAGCAGCAGCTCTGATCCCTCAGGATGATGAAGCTCTGCTGTGTTAAAGTCTATCCATGTGTCACACATTCTTTCCTCTCATCTACCAAAGCTATTTCCTTTCCTTCTGTTTCATCCAGGAGGCCAAATTTTCTTCTGTTTCATAATCAAAACCTGCCTGAATGACCTGAAATGATTAGAAACACCTCAGTAATGTGTCATTAAAACAAACAATTAATGAATTAGGTGTTTTATTGAAATGCATTCATCGTACATAGATATTCTTAAAGGTTTTCTCTCTGAGCTAAATCTAAATTAAGTGAACCTTAAACAGCGTCACTTTTCTCTGAGGTGCATTTAAGAAGAGCAGCAGGATTTCCCAGGTTGGGAGAAGTAACTTCAGCTGACTTTTTCATCCTGGCGTGAGAAGAGATACATGGCGATGCTCATGGCAGCGATCTGAGGAGCAGGAGAGGAATGGAGATGTTGAAAGGAAAATGTAAAAAAAAAAAAAAACTAGATATTTAAAGAATTCATGTAAAGTTTCAGCATTTTATTTTGGTTTCAACCAAAACTAAAAAACAATCTGCCAAACAGAAGAAAGTTTTAAAACTCTCATTTAACTTCTTAAAGGAAATTTTTAATGTAGAATTTTTTTATTTCATCCATGTGTTTACTTAGAATTACCATAAAATGAGTTTTTGTCTTTTCTCTGCAGAGCCGCTCTTGTGCACCTGGTTGCTGTGTTGAGTCTCAGCCACCATTGATGCATTAGTGAGAGAACAGCAGCGACTTTCTGAAGATGGATCATAACAGCCCAGCCACACCTGTTGCTCAAACCCCATAACAGACTCAATGCAAGTGTAAAGAGAATTGACTTTTGTCTACTGGGATGAAAATTGCCAAACTGGAGTCAGATCAGTTACAGAATAAGATAAAATTCAACTTAATTTTATAGCATCATCTCAGGGCTCTTTATAGAGACAATGCTATTGACATTAGGGCAAAGGTGAAGCTTTTAACAAATGAATGGAGCTTAAATCTGCTTTGGTCATGAAAAGCCACCCTCAGCTGGATCTCTTTCTGCTAAAACGCTAAGATGCTGTGGCTTAAATCTTAGATTTTGACAAAAATGAGAAAAGCTGAATGCTCCTCTTCTCCCTTGCATGTGCACAACACTGGTGTCATTTCATCTTGTAGCCAGTGGGGGAGAACATCTGCAAAAACTCTTGGAAGTTGTTTTCGTTTAACAGACATGTTTATTGCACAGATCTTCCAAGATGGTTTTCTCTTCTCATGATTCCTTCAATGATAAACTGTTAGAACCTAATCGGCGCTGATTTCTTAAAAAGGAATCCCAGAGTGGAATCCATCTATCAGGGACCCACACTGTGGTGGATCTTTACCCTCAGAGCTACAGAGCAGATTTCTGGGTTTAGCCCACATTTGTTCTGTAGATGTAGAGAAAGCTCAGCAGCCCGTTCCTGGGGGTGTTCTGTAGGAGGTGAAGCAGAAGATCTATCAAAGACTCTTTGCTCACTGAAGCAAGAACCTTGTCTTTTATCTAGAACTTTAGGTCATTTCCTGTGACCTCATTTCCTGAGGTCACAGGAATGTTCTCCCTGCAGCCTTCTGGGAAGAGGCTTTGCAGTATTGGCTGCAGGACCAGCAGGTTCTGCAACTGCCATCAGACTGTTGAACTGTTGAAACTAATCAAGACTCTGCATCACACTTGTAAACATCATATTTAATCATATTTAATAATCCCTTTGAATAGAATTCAACTAAACGATCTACTGCATTTTGCACCATATATATTTATTTTCCCTGCATTGAAACTTTGCATACTAATGCCTTTTGCACAGTGACTTTAAACCAGTTTTCCCTTTCTCCTACACTGTTTGCATTTTGATCACTGCTGCACTTTATAAATGGTAATGTTCATTTCACTGTTGTAAGCTAGTTGTTCACTGAAAAGCTGTGGAGTTCAGGCTTCTCCTGCCCCTTGTCTCCATGTTTGGGAAACTAAAGATCTTTGTTCCTTTTGGCAGACAATGTTTGATTGACTTCTTCAAACAGACCTTCATCGCTTCTTGTAGGAAGCTTTCAGGTCAGAGTGACTCGAAGTATCCAGGATCGTTCTGGGACAGTATGGAGTCTCCTTTCCAGCCGGAGACCATCAGATATCCTTTAAGGAGAGGCAGGGTGAACAGATGGACTGGATCTCCATGTATGCAGCCGTTAAATGGACAGAAATCATCCTTTTGTTCTGAGCCCTTACATGCTTCAGAAAACATCTCAGCAAGAGCAGCTGAGCCAAAGAATCAAGCTCCTAATTTCCTGCTGTCCCTACATTCCACTCATCATCCTTATGAGGTCATAATCAAAAGGAGTTTCATCCACCAATCATCTTCCTCTGTGGGCTTTGCTGTGCTTTGGTGTCAGCTGAGCAGGTGTCTCCCTTTGAAGTCCTTCCACACATACCTAGAGTCCATTGATTGACAGACTTTAAACACAGCTTTAGACCTCAGTAGATCCTGGGCAGGACATTCTAAACGGTCCCAGAAGACTAAAGATTTGGGTCCTTGCCATGTGGAACCAACTGAGGGCGCTTCAGTTCAGGACCTTTAATTTTCAGGCCTTTCCATTAGAGACGCTTATAAGGAGGTTCTACGTTCTGCTATACCTTCTCCACCTCCTTTCAACACGGCTCAAGCAGCTCTCAAAGATCTAAAATATTTTTTAAAGACTCATCTCTTTTCTTTGGCTTTTGTGTTTTATTTTAAGTTATTAGGTCAATGTTATTATTCTACGGTAATTTGTTTAAAAGGTGTCTGGTTGGCTAGGTTGCTTGTAAAGCTCTTTGGTATATTGTTATTAATTCTCTATCTAAATGCTGTCGACCTCAAACAGACAAAGTGACCTTAGTTTAAGAAAGTTCTGGCAAAAATGCCAGTTCTCGTTTTTACCTCTAACAGCCCGACTCCAGCTGCGATGCCTCCCACAATGTTGCTTTCTTCTCTCAGGGTTTCCACGATGTGATCAAAGCAGCCCTGAAAGAAGAAGCTGACATGAATCTGCTTTAAAAGAAAAAAAACCTGGCCCATAAAACTCTGATTGACTTGACATCAAATGCTTGCTTTTGATAAAAGCAAAAATATATTCATGTTTAAATTAATCAACCTACTGTAATGGTGAAAACAATCTAAGGTATGATTATCAGAGCGGTGTGAGTCTACCTGCACAGGTAGGCGCGCCGCCTCAGTTGGGCTGCAGGGGTCGCTGTTGATGCAGCAGGTGGCAGGAAGCACGTTTCCGCTCTGCTCCTCAAACTCTGAGCCCATAAAGTCAGTGAAGTTTGAATAACCACAGCATTTCAACTGGATGGAAACAAGTAAAAAAAACAACACTAATCAGCCCTGCTCATCATCCGCTGCATAGACAAGACTGAAACACCCTGGACAGGTCGCAAGTCAGTCGCGGGGCAACACAGAGAGACACAAAGACACAACCATGCACACACACACACTCACATGAGGACAATTTTAGAGATGCTACTTTAGTCATGTTTTCTGGACTGTGGGAGGAAGCTGGAGTACCCAGAGAGAACCCATGCATGCCAGGGGACAACATTCAAACATTTCCATGCAGCCCTCCCTTGCATCTGTGTTGAGCCTTTTTTCTTAAATCCACTTCATACCATGAAAGACCGTGACTGGACAGATTAAGCAGTGGGCTTCTAGACTGACAAGTCAAAAGTTACCAAAGTCTGAACAAAATTAAAAACTATCTTCAAAGAGTTCAGTTTAGTTTAGTTTAGTTTAGTTTAGTTTAGTTTAGTTTAGTTTAGTTTAGTTTAGTTTAGTTTAGTTTAGTTCAGAGAGAGTATCACTGGGTTCAGCTTCCACAAACCTCTATCATGGTGGCGTTCCAGATCTCAGTGACCATCGGATCAATGCCGTAATCGTTCTGTAAGGCAGGAATGGCCCACTCATGGAAGATTTCTTTAGCCTAGAAAACAAAAACACTCAGATTTAAAGTTTGAGTCCGATGCAAACAGGAAACATGAAGTTTGTTAGAGCTAGAGTCTCCTGAGTTTAATGAAACAGAAAACAAACAGCCTTGGTGGTTCTCTGACATTGTTTTTTTAACTGGTGACTGAGTTAGATATATACCCCAAGAAAACAGACCAGATAATAAGATAAGATCTGTGGATGAACCCTGAACTAATCCTTTTTACTAATTCTTGACACAGATCATTGATCTTTGGTTGGAGAATATCTACATAAAAAGGCCACGTCCATGAAGCAGCTACCTTTTGGTTCGGTAAAAAATAATTCACCTCTGAACATTAAGGGGGATTGGTGATGATGATGACTCAAAGTTAAGACTGGGCAGCTAAACTGCAATAACTGTCCTTTGGCCTGTAGAGGTCTCTGAGTTCAGCCATCAATAGTGTTATGATACAACAGGGTCATGAGATGAGCAGGATTCAGAGAGGGAGAGGAGGATTAAATTTCAATGCAAAGGTTGGGAGAAACCAACTATTTCATAATAAATTAATACCTATTTTTATAAAGGCATCATTCTATCATATGTTTTCCTGTAGTAGACTATGAAAGGTTTAAAAAGCAGGAAATAGGAATTTCAACACAGTTTTGAGTGGCCGTCTGGTTTTCGACTTTGATCTCCAGCAATGGTTACTTCAGGATCAGTGCAAAGCTCCGTCTTCTGCTCAGATGTTTGCGCTCATTCTAGATCCATCATAAACCTTCAGACAAAACCTGGTAACTTGAGCCTTTCCTGGTTTTCTCAGCTACTTCAAGAACATATGTCCACTAATGCATGTAATGACGTACCTCTCCACCGAACATCACGTCATACGGCCTTATTTAGCCAATTCCTCCTCAGGGAATTGCAGACTGATAAGTGCTGTTTTGATCAGCTATGCGCGTGTGTCACCCTTCTTCAGTTCCAGTCTATAGCCCATATATCAGTCAGAAATGAATGCTCACATGTTTTATTTTCTCTGCTCAGACTACATGAATTCATCCTGTTTTTTCCTTGTTAAAGGTCTTCATTATAAATCTTTTTTCCAGGCAGAAGCCAAGTGTGGAGCTGGAGGAGTGTTGGAAATGTGACCAGATCGCAGTGATCATGCGTAACGGCACACGCTGTTGAATCTGGCCCAGGACATACCGAAGCCTCCCCCAGGCCCAGATATAAACCACATAGATTAAATTTACTCAGCTGTACCATCCTGTTCTCCAGTAAGTCAATCCACAGCAGCTGGGACTGCTGGGTGCTTAGGTTGCTGCCTAATGATGATGTCCTCCCACTCCTGATGCCCTCCAGTCCTTGTCACTTACATCCCCATCATACATCTCCAAATCGGACCATTTATGGTTGACAGCCTCTGTCACTTTTTACTTGTCTATATTCTCCAGCTCTGATTAGAAACAAAGTTAAAAAATTCTTCCTGTATATCCTTTTTTGCCATTAGATAAGAACGTTGTATGTATAAATATCTTTTTGTGGGGAGTAATAAACAAAAAAATCACTGTGGAGCTTAAAGTGTCAGAACTGCCTGAAACTCTGCAGGATGAAGCTGATTTAAGGATATCTGTGGGAGTCGCCCATTCATCACAGATTAAATAAATCTTCTGCCGCACAAAGCATCTGGGAAATAAACGGGAAAAATGGAAATAAATCAAATCCAGGAGAGACGTTTTCCTCCTTTTTTTACGGCGCTAAACTGAGGGACATTTCCATATATATTGATGCTTGTGAGGCTTCGCTCAGGACATTTTCATGTTTATCCAAAGCTGACCACGTTCAGAGTCGCTCCATTTCTTCTCTCTCCTTCCTCCGTTTCTCCTGATTTGATTAATAATCCCACTGTGTTGAGTCCCACAGACATGGAGGACTACAGTACGTGTAGGTGGATTGGATTTGCATGTTAGAGGGTGCAGAAGGAGACTCCCCAGGGGATCATGGGATATGTGCCACAATTAAGAAGTGTCCCCCAAGAGGCTGAGAGCTCCTGAGTTCAGAGTGGATTATTAGCAGACAGCTAATTCATCACTGTCATTCTCCTCTACGCAGCTCCCTTCCTGGTGAACATGTGCACACGAATGCACAAACTGGCACTGCTGCACATGTGAACACGCGCACCAAGTCGGAGCGTGTCCAGAACAAAGGCTGCAGTCATCTTCCTCCTTTATTAATTATGGATGCTTCACAGCGGGGTGTCCAGCATCAGTCCTGAAGGTCTGAGGTCCTGCAGGTTGGAGATGGTTTCTTGCTCCAACGCAGCGGGTCTAATGGCCTAATCACTTCCTCAGCAGGCGGGCCGGTTCTGCACAGTCCTGCTTCTATAGTGTTCATTTGTTTCATATGTGTCCAGTCAGGGAAACACCTTAAACATGAAGGACATCATGAAGGACGGCCTTCAAACAGCAACGCCTCACTGAGCTGCTTCTTGATGTTAGAGGAAGAATCTAGTCATTAATGAACCAAAAACATCATTCTGAGTTTTTCTTTTGCAGCAATTGTGAAAGTTCATTTTCGGATCATAGAAACATGTTTACAACCGGTTAGATTCATAGCCTAATATTCATCTCTAACAAGCTTTTAGACCAAGTTTATCTCTGAACTGAAGACTAGCCCTTTATTTTTATGACCAATTTAAACATATGTGATGGGAAATATGATGCATCTACCTGAGATCATATGTCACATCAAACCAAAACGCATTTCAGTTGCGGGGCAAAAATCCACAGTTTATACGGTAAACTGCCAAATGTATGTGCAGGTTTACTAGTGGTTCCTAGACTTTCTAAAAATAGAATGGGAGGCAGATTTTTTAGTTATCAGGCTCCTCTCCTGTAAAACCAACTACCAGTTTTAGTCCGTGAGCCAGACACCCTGTCTAGTTTTAAGGTGGGTTTAAACTTTCCTTTTTGATAAAGCTTATAGTTAGAGTGGCTCAGGTTATCTTGAGCTATTTCTATAGTTATGCTTCTATAGGCTTAGACTTCTGGAGGACATAGGGACCCCCATTTTATCATTGTGCTTCATTCTATCTCTATTCTCCCACTCTGCTGAATCTGTGAATTATGCTCTCTCTGCTTTTTCTCATAGCAGCTTTGCCTCGTCTGTTCCTGTTTGGCTGTGACGCCATCCTGGAGAAAAATATCAGCTGTGCTGCTGCCATCAACACCTTTGATTATAGATGTTGGAGATCGGCCTGTTTCCCATTGTAGTCCTGTTTCTCTGACTGTGACTAACTGGATGTGCTCTCTTCATCTTCTGATATGGGAGCTGGCTCAGAGCTCGTCTGCCTGGCTGTGTGTTTCCTGGACCGAGCCGCCTTTTACAGCTGCTTTTTGTATCTCTGCTTCTGTCTCATTGAATCCCAGTCAGACTCAGCAGATGGCCGCTCACACTGAGCCTGGTTCTGCTGGAGGTTTCTTCCTGTTAAAAGGGAGTTTTTCCTCTCCACTGTCG